ATAGCAGGTCTCTCGCTGGGTTAGCTGCACATCAAAATCGTTTGGTTAATTATTTTTTTTTTGCAGGTGGTTTTTCCAAATTTTATTAAAAATAAGAAGTATTAAAAACGATACTTTCCACGTATAAACGACCTTTAGTTTATCACAAGTTTAACATATCCATCAACTTTTATTTACAGCTGTGCTAGATAATGCATTTATGACAAAATAATTCCTTTTATTATTTTATAAAAAAGTTCGGTAATTTTTACCCTACTTTTCACCAGTAGATGGCACTTTTGTACATCCAGGACGACTTACCAGTAGAAATTTATTTATGGTATTTTTTGGATAGACTATTCGAAGTACGTTAAATTTTTAAGAAACTGTTGACGCAAATTTAAATATGTAATATGACAAAATAAATTTTTTTGTTGGCTAAAGCTTTTAAATTATCTTTAGATGTGTAATCAAACAAAATCATATCTCTGTATTTAAAATCGAAACAACAATGTACTTTAGATTATTAAGACTTGTATGGCTGAAATAACATGAATTACTATAATTTAAAAATTAGAAATAAATGAGTGTTCATGATTTCCGCTGATAGTATTAACCTACATAAAAATATGTAACTTACGATTAATCCTCGTACAAGGAAAGCGCTTTTTAACCCTAACTTTTAAGTATAATCATAGCGCCCTCTATCAAAGTTTAGCACTAAATAAGTCAAAAGTGCGGTGTGTTTATAATGACCAACAATACAGTTTTTGTTTGTTGCAGCGCAATGTTACAGCATGAATTATCTAAGCTCTGCTGACAATAGGGAATTGGATATGTATATCTTTATATTAGATGATAAAGTCTACAGCGGGGAATCTGATATATATATATATATCTTTATATTACATGATAAAGTCTACAGCGGGGAATCTGATATATATCTTTATATTAGATGATAAAATCTACAGCGGGGAATCTGATATATATCTTTATATTAGATGATAAAATCTACAGCGGGGAATCTGATATATATATCTTTATATTAGATGATAAAATCTACCGCGGGGAATCTGATATATATATCTTTATATTAGATGATAAAGTCTACCGCGGGGAATCTGATATATATATCTTTATATTGGATGATAAAGTCTACCGCGGGGAATCTGATATACATCTTTATATTAGATGATAAAGTCTACAGCGGGGAATCTGATATATATATCTTTATATTAGATGATAAAATCTACCGCGGGGAATCTGATATATATATCTTTATATTAGATGATAAAGTCTACCGCGGGGAATCTGATATACATCTTTATATTAGATGATAAAGTCTACAGCGGGGAATATGATAAATATATATATATCTTTATATTAGATAAAGTTTACCACGGGGAATCTGGTATGTATATTTATATTAGATAAAGTTTACCGCGGGGAATCTGATATATATCTTCATATTAGATAAAGTGTACCGCGGGGAATCTGATATATATATATTTATATTAGATTGTAGTAAATGATAAAAGTCTTAACAATGACTGAATTTTGCCCACGTTTTTTTACTTCATATAAAAGAAGTTTGTATTATTTCCTACATGAACGTATAAATAAATGTCTTTTCTTTAATGATTGAAACATATTTAACGGATCCAAAGCTTATTTTAATATCAAATAAATCACGTTAAGGATTTTGTGTTTACTATTCATGATGTGAAGCTTATTCTAATATCAAATAAATCACGTTAAGGATTTTGTGTTTACTATTCATGATGTGAAGCTTATTCTAATATCAAATAAATCACGTTAAGGATTTTGTGTTTACTATTCATGATGTGAAGCTTATTTTAATATCAAATAAATCACGTTAAGGATTTTGTGTTTACTATTCATGATGTGAAGCTTATTTTAATATCAAATAAATCACGTTAAGGATTTTGTGTTTACAATTCATGATGTGAAGCTTATTCTAATATCAAATAAATCACGTTAAGGATTTTGTGTTTACTATTCATGATGTGAAGCTTATTCTAATATCAAATAAATCACGTTAAGGATTTTGTGTTTACTATTCATGATGTGGAAGTGATAAAAAAATATCGGATTTGAGTCCCGTCACCGAACAGCTCGTGTTTTCAGATGTGGGGGTGTTATAATGTGACGGTCAATCCCACTATACAATTAGAGTAGCCCAAGAGTTGACGGTGGATGGTGTTCATTAGCTGCCTTCCCTCGAGCTTATCACTTCAAAATTAAGGACGCGTAGCTTTTTGTGAAATTCAACGAACACAAACAAAATCGGCTTATTGTATTTTCTTTAATCATTAACAAAAAAAAAAGGTTAGAAAATAATCTAGTCATAAGAACCAAACTCTTTCTTCTTCTTTTATTTTTCAACGGGGAACTTTATTACGCGGCTATTCACAATGGGAAGGGGATTTAAGGTATGTTTGTTATTAAACGCAGAGGGCTATCTGTGCTTCTGTCCGTTAAGATATGAAAAGGTGTACAAAACATCCTCCCCAAACTTTGAAGCTGATTTAGAATAACGTCTAACCTCAGAACATCCTCCTCAAACTTTGGAAGCTGATTTAGAATAACGTCTAACCTTAGAACATCCTCCTCAAACTTTGGAAGCTGATTTAGAATAACGTCTAACCTCAGAACTTCCTCCTCAAGCTTTGAAGTTGACTTGAATAATGTCCAATACCAGAACATCCTCCTCAAACTTTGAAGCTGATTTAGAATAACGTCTAACCTTAGAACATCCTCCCCAAACTTTGAAGCTGATTTAGAATAACGTCTAACCTCAGAACATCCTCCTCAAACTTTGAAGCTGATTTAGAATAACGTCTAACCTCAGAACATCCTCCCCAAACTTTGAAGCTGATTTAGAATAACGTCTAACCTCAGAACATCCTCCTCAAACTTTGGAAGCTGATTTAGAATAACGTCTAACCTCAGAACTTCCTCCCCAAGCTTTGAAGTTGACTTGAATAATGTCCAATACCAGAACATCCTCCTCAAACTTTGGAAGCTGATTTAGAATAACGTCTAACCTCAGAACATCCTCCTCAAACTTTGGAAGCTGACTTAGAATAACGTCTAACCTCAGAACATCCTCCCCAAACTTTGGAAGCTGATTTAGAATAACGTCTAACCTCAGAACATCCTCCCCAAACTTTGGAAGCTGATTTAGAATAACGTGTAACCTCAGGACATCCTCCCCAAACTTTG